GCACGGGAGGCCATACCTCGAAGTCGAGGCAGGGAGGGGTGACCAAGGCGGTGGTGCCAAAGGAGAGTCTCGTGCGCCAGAGGACGACACGAGCAGGGGGCAGACGCAGGACTAGACCTGGACGCGGCAGCAAACACCTGACTGGACGCAGCTACCTGACCAGACGCAGGGACCGGAGGAGGCGCAGTAGTCAGTGTGTACAGACTCGACCCTGGCCGACGGGTGAACGTGGCCAGGTGGCGGCCCGTCCGAGAGCAAGTGCAGTGGGTCACACGCTGACCTCCAGGGGTGAACTGGTCAACCCACGCGTCCTGGAGGTCAGCTCCACTCACCAAGTTCGTAGAGAACGAGGGGAGGTGGAGTCCCGACAGCAAGCCCGACGGGGCCGCAGGACACGGTAGAACCGTGGAGGAGTGTGCAAGGACCGGGCCCCCGGAGGGGTCAGCAAGGGAGACCGCAACAGGCCGACTGAGCGGCGTGAGCGTGGTGCTGTCTCTAAAGAAAGAGCGCGAAGCACCAGAGTCAAGTGTGAAAGTGTGAAGGGACTCAGTAGGTGCAGTACCAGAGAGAGGAGACGTACCAGCACCTGGAGCAGCAGACGCACTAGCACCTAGAGCAGCAGCCGCACTAGCACCTAGAGCAGCAGCCACAGTGCCCGGGTCGGGCGGGACACGCAGGTAACAGTCACCCTCAGTAATATCAGCAAAAGCATACATGGCAGCAAGGATAGCATCAAAGTCTAGATCAAAGATAGGCACATTCTGCAGAAGCAGATCATGCCAACGAGGAAGCTTAACGGCGTCAGGAAACTGGGCACGCCAAGCGTCAGTCAAGCGGCCGAAGCAGCGCTGCGTGGTGTGTGGGAGACCACACACCTCCCCACTCCGAGTGCCGGTGCGAAGAACGTAAGAGCAGGGACCCGCACCCCCAGACCTCCCACGCCCAGCGTACCACTCACGAAGCTGCTGAACCGACGGGGTCTCACGGGTGCGCTGCTGCTGCTGGCGCTGGCTGCCACCAAGGCCTCCACGCTGCGTGGCTGCACCGCGACCAGCACCACCTCCTCCGCTACCTCCACCACCGCTGCCGCCGCCTCCACCCCCTCCGCCACCGCCGCCACGGCCTCCACTGCCGCCACCGACTCCCCCACTCCCTGTACCACCCCCACCACCACCTCCACCTCCTCCACCGCCTCCACCGCTTCCCCCACCGCCCCCTCCACCACCCCTGCTTCCCTTGCCCTTGCCGGTGCGGCGTCGCCCACTAGAGGCAGACGCAGCGCCGACCTCCTCAGTGCCAACGAGGTCGACAGCAGCAGCAGAGGCAACAGAGGGGAGAAGGGGGACAGGGGAACACCCCTCAAAGAAGGGGGTGCGACGGTCGCCGCGAGAAGCACCGACAGCTAAGATACTCTTCTCAGCTGCAGCAAGGCGCTCCTCTAGCAAGTCGACAGTCAGCTCGGTGGGGCATAGGGAGAGAAAGTGGTCCCTGACTGAAGAGAGAGAGTCAGGGAGGCGGGTGACTAGGTAGTAAAGGGTGATGTACATGGGGGGGGAGTTCGTGGGAAGGAACGCAGTGGGAAGGGCAGCGCGGTAGCGGGCGTCACTGGTGCGAAGGTGAGCAACCAGGTCAGCAACTGTGGCAAAGGCGGCAAGGTCAGGAAAAAGGTACGGCAGCATGAGGCGGCTGAGGGCAGCAGTGGCAGGGGAGCTGTAGCGTGCAACTACAGCGTCGTACAGAGTCTTAGCACTCTTGTACTGACTAAAGTGCGCGCGCTCAGTAGACGGTAGGTGACTACGCACAGCAAGGCGGGCAGCAGCATCGCGCGTGGTCCACTGCGAGCGAACAGTACTGTCAACATCAGCAGCAGGGGCAGTAGAGGCGCCAGACGTGAGATCGAACAGTGAGAGACCGTCCTTGCTATCGCACTGTAGGAAAAGCTGCAGATCATCTAGCCAGACCTCAAAGTCAACTGCCCGACCCTCAGCATCAAAAGTAAGGACACTGAGACTAGCCATGACAGCAGCAGCAGTAGGCTAGCAGCAGCAGCAGTGCAACTCAGCTAAGCAGGCTAGGCAGGGCAGCGCGGCTTGGCAGGGCGGCTCGACAGGGCGGCACGGCACGGTGGAGCAGTGCGGTTCGGCAGCGCGGCTCGGCTCGGCGGTGCGCTTACCAGGGGCGAGGCCGGGGCAGGGCCGGGGGAGGGTCGGGGCAGGACTGGGACAGGTCCGGGGTAGGGCCGGGGCCGGGCCGCAAGAGATCCGGGGCCGGGCCGAGGCAGGGCCGCGACAGCACAGGAGCAGGGCAGGGGCTGAGTCGGGGCAGGGCCGGGGCAGAGCCGGGGCGAGGCCGCGACAGGTCCGGGACAGAGCCGCGACAGGGTCGGGGTAGGTTCGGGACGGGGCCACGACGGGGCCGGGGCAGGGCCAGGGTCGGGGGAGGTCCGGGACGGGGCCGCGACAGGGTCGGGGCAGGGCCGGGGTCGGGGCAGGTCCGGGACGGGGCCGCGACAGGGTCGGGGCAGGGCCGGGACGGGGCCGGGACAGGGCCGGGGAAGGGCCGGGGCGGGCCGCGAAGGGGGCCGCAACTGGCCTAACGGGCCGCGAAGGGGCCGCGACAAGCCGCGACGGGGCCTAACGGGCCGCGAAAGGGGCCGGGGAAGGGCCTGGGCGGGCCGCGAAGGGGCCGCGACGGGCCTAACGGGCCGCGAAGGGGGGCCGCGACGGACCTAACGGGCCGCGAAGGGGCCATTACGGGCCGCAAGGGGGCCTAACGGGCCGCAAGGGGGGCCGCTACGGGCCTCAAGGGGGCCGCTACGGGCCTCAAGGGGGCCACTACGGGCCGTGAAGGGGCCGCGACGGGCCGCGAAGGGGGCCGCGACGGGCCGCGAAGGGGCCTAACGGGCCGCAAGGGGCCACTACGGGCCGCAAGGGGGCCTAACGGGCCGCAAGGGGGGGCCGCTACGGGCCTCAAGGGGGCCGCTACGGGCCTCAAGGGGGGGGCGCTACTGGCCTCAAGGGGGCCACTACGGGCCGTGAAGGGCAGGCGCGACGCGCGCGTCGGGCAGGTAAGAAAAAAAAAAAGTATTTTCAGTGGTGGGCCCTTAGGAAAAATCGAAACTAGCTCTATACCATGTGAGAATTGAGGAATGAATGATTGAACTAGAAACGAGATGGGTACAAGTAGAGAACACAAAAGTGTTGTACCCTCTAGGAACTACCCCACTACAGCCTAAACAGACTATAGCAGATATAAGTTTGACATTAGTGAGGATTGAAGTAGCATTTTGGGCCAAGTAGAATTGCAATATCAACTATGAATACAAAAGCAAACACACAACTAGATATAGGCTACGGGAAGGTTTCACAAAGTTGGCGTGGCACTGCGCAGTAACCCAACCCCACGAAAGTGGTGTGTGGGTGAGCGAACGCGCCTCGTCAACTTCCCAACCCAACTCAGCAGGGAAGTCAATGCCGAGCTCGCCAATTCTCCCAGCACAACTAGAAATGGCGAGACTCACAGAGAACCACCCACAACCACCAAGACCACCCAAGAAGCATGCCCACGATTTCCCTAGACTAACACCACCCCAGCAATGACTGTTTAGTGCTGCCGTTGTCACATCGCGTCACTACGCAACCATCGCCAAATCATAGGGTCGGTGCTAGACTGCTCGTCTTGGTCTTTCATAGTCGACCTGCCAAGTCAAACGGTCGTCGAGGGCCCTTGCTGTCGTAGGGCCCTCTAACAAGGAGGAGATGGGCGAAGTAGGGAGGTAATGCCTCGACGCACCAGATGCCACCCCACACGACTTTCTGGTACACGAATGGCGGAGTTAACTGCGGGTGAATGGCGATACCTAGAACATCCATCAGTCCCGCCGCCGCAAGCAGCGGCACGGCTAGCCCGATGCACAGCCCGCCGATCGTGCCGGACGAGAATGAAACCGCGACGCGAGAAAGAACGGCGCGAGTTTATTCGGAAATTAGTAAAGCCATGGTGGAGCGTGAGAAGCGAGATATCAGCAGGTTGGAAATAACTAGCTGTTGATGGTTAGGGTTAACTTCCTAGGTTTGAGGCGCTCAGCCTAGATGCTATCGAAACAGCGGCGCGGTTGGCCCAATGCACACGTAGCTCATGCTTTCCGTAAGTCCATAACGAAAGGAGGTGGGCGAAACGAGACTAGGTCCTGTCATCTACCTGAAGCGCTGTGGCGCTGCATTTGAATCCAGCATTGCACAAGCAGGACGCAAGGAAATTCGTAACTTGTCGCGAATCGCCCACAAAGCATCACAAATGCCCACTTTGTACTTTCTTGCAAACCTGCTTGGTTCTTGAATTTTTGTTTCGCTTAGTGAATCGTCCTTCGGGACATCCGTTAAAATTGGAACGATACAGAGAAGATTAGCATGGCCCCTGCGCAAGGATGACACGCACAAATCGAGAAATGGTCCAAATTTTTTCGGGGATCTGACGGAGAATTTGCCCAATCACAGCTCGGCAATGTTCTTGACTAGAAAGCTTTTTTGGTCTCGATCACGCACCTTTGAGCTCATCATCGTGGCATCGTGTCCGTGGTTGTCAGACGTAGCCACATAGTTAGTCGTGTGGTGGCTTTTGCTCCGTGAACAGCGCAACTGGCTTTTCCAGACGTTTCACGACGTGAACTGGCCGCGGGGCCTTTGGATGAGCTCGCCGCACAGCGGCGCCTCGATGGGTTGCTTTCGCCCTTCGCGCGGCGCGATCGAGTCGTTCCACGAACGTTCGACCGCGACCTTCATGCCACGTGGCAGTCGTCGGTCGATCCGAGCTCTTCTCCTCACGATCGCCATTCGTCTTGATCGTCTCAGCTCCGACCGTGCTATGCGAAAGTGATGAACGTGAAAGCAGGAGCGAAAGCAGGAGCGGCAGCAGAGACAGCAGCACGAGCAGCGACTTGGATGTTTCTGAAACGCGTCTCGGGAAACGTGAATTCGAGTACGTAGGTGATCCAAGCGCATATGCTGCTCGCGCTGCTAGATCACTTCAACCATGAGTTTTACTACACGACAGACTGGCAGGTGCGGCCAGGTTCTAACATGTATGGGTAGGTTTGGGCAGGTTTGGCCAGGTACCCGCATGTTCAAGGGGGTTCAGGTGGGTGAGCAACTGCTTCTAGATCTCTTGAACCACAAGATTCATTACAAGGCAGACTGGCAGGTACTGATAGGTGGGGTCAGGTACAAACAGGTGCAAGGGAGTGAGCAAGCTGTGAGGTGACTGCGGAGGTGCACTTGTTGCCGCCTCCGCTAGATCTCTTCAACCACGACTTCTAGTCAGCAGACTGGCAGGTACGGATAGGTATGGACAGGTAAGGGTAGGTGCAGACAGGTACGGGGCAGATATGGGCAGGTACAGGCAGGTTCAACAGGTTCGGACAGGTTTGTCAGGTTCGGGCAATCTCTGGAGGTGAAAGAGGCCCATTCAGAGTAATTTAAACATGAATTTTAACTGGCAGGTCAGAGCCTTTTTTTTCCTTCTTCCCCTCCCCTTGCTCTCCCCACACCTTGCATCCCCTCTCCCTTCTTTCGACAAACAGTCATCTCCATTTCTCTCCTCCTTTCCTTCCTCACTCCGCTTCTCTCCCTCCCCCCCCTCCTCTCCCCTCCCGTTTTTGCCACGTCAGCCCACCATTCACTCCTCCACTGCTGACATCAACAACTTTGCTGCTGACGTCATCTCTCCAGGCCAGCCAATCAGCGTGGGCTATGGCTCCATGGACACCGCCCAGTTCCTGCTGCTGTACGGCTTCCTGCCGCCCAACAACCCATTTGACCAGTTCGTCCTTTTCGAAAACGCCACAGTGCTTCTTGACTACTACGAGACAAAATATCTTGCCCGAGTGAGCTCTGTCTCTCACACTCACGTCTTCCCAGAGGGACCTGCAGGTGGGTGCTTTGAGACGTCTCAAAACACTCCTTCATAAACAGACTTCATAAACAGAGGGATCTGCAGGTGGGTGCTACAAGGTTGCCTGGCTGCAGGTGAGTGGTACCATGTAAGTGTCTGCATGCGGGCATGCCTCCCAGTCGCAGAGTGGCACTGGGCCACTACCGCCCAGTGGGGTGGGCTCTGGCCTTCACACTCACGTCCTCCCAGCGTGCTTCGTAGTCGAAGAGTGACGTGGAACTCGGGCAGCGCCCGAGTGGGCCCAGTGGGCCCTGGCTACTACGTGCACGTCCTCCCAGCGTGCTTCGGAGTCAAAGAGTGGCACGTGAGCAGCTCAAGGGGCTCTGCCTCTCACGAGCGCGTTCTTTCAAAGGAATCTGTCTGCACATGGGTGGGTGCCTCCCGCTTGCACTGTGACGCTGGCCCACTGTAGCATATTGGGCCCTGATTCACTGAGAGAGGGACGCACTGATTCGTGAGGCTCGTATAATTTGTTTTTAAGATTTATCTGCCCCCTTGGGATTGTGTGCAGGCCATGTGCAACGACAGCGAGGGGGAGGAGGGAGAGAGCAACGCTCTTGTGGCCATCAAACAACCGCCATCCTTCCAGGTACACGTGGCTCGCCACAAGTGAGTGTTGACACGTCTCAAACGTAAAGCTGCCAGTAATTAAGCCATCAACCATGCAAGACAACTTTTGAGGCGCCTCAAAAGTAAGCCATCTACCATGCAAGACATTTTTCACACTTCTTTTTGTACGCTGCTCCCCCTTGCCTCATTCTCCTCCATGTTCCCCTCTTTCCATGCATTTTGTGGGCCTCTCACATATGTCACTTGAATGTTCTCAGATCGCTCAAAGATGTGTTATATCAGTCAAGACAAACCCAACAAACAATTGCTTTCTCCATTTCCTTCTCCTTACGTTCTTGCATCTCGTCTCTCGTCTCTCTCCCGCTCTTATCTCCCCACTGCAGAGAGGCGTGCTAGAAGAGACAAGGGATGCCGCCCAGGTGCTGCCGGTGCTGTCCAGGCAGCGCAGCGAGGAGATATCGTCAGCGCTGACGAGGCGACAGCTGTCGGAAGACAAGTGGTGGACAGCTGTCAGTCGCGTGGTGCAGGGTGAGTGTGCCGGGGTGTGTGTAAGGGGGGGGGGAGGGGAGTGTGTGTGTTAGGGGTTGAATCTTGGTGGGGAGAGTGTGTGGAGGAGAGTGTGGAGGTGAGTGTGTAGAGGTGAGTGTGTGGAGGTGAGTGTGTGGAGGTGAGTGTGTGGAGGTGAGTGTGTGGAGGTGAGTGTGATGTACAGTGTGACGTTTTCTTTTTCTCCTGTGCCGCCCAGGGCTAGCCCTCATGGCAAAGCAGGTGCAGGCGAAGCTAGAGGCAAACTGCAACACCTCTTCACGACTTGACATGCCCTTCTCTGCCCTTATTTGCAACACCTCTTCACGACTTGACCATGTGCCCTGTGCCGCCCAGGGCTAGCCCTCATGGCGAAGCAGGTGCAGGCGGAGCTCGAGGCGGACGGCAGTCTGCAGGACTCCGCCAGCTCAGCAGGGGCGGCGGCGGGTGGCAGGTGGGTGCAGCTGGCAGCAACGGGGGAGGAGATGGCGGGCGGCACAGTTGTGTGACCGGGAGGGAGTGACTGCTGCACTGTGTGTGCATGGGGGCAGAGGGGTGAGAGTCCAGCCGAGCTGGTGCTGCATTCTCTACACTGTGGTGTGGGATGGGTCCCCTGTGGTGGCTTTGTCTCCCTGCTCCACTCAGCCTGGTGGTGGCAGGTGGGTGCGCCATGTAGCTACTGGGGAGGAGATGGCGGGAGGGAAGGTGATGTGACTGGGAGGGAGGGACTGCTGCACTGTGCATGGGGATAGAGTGGTGTGAGTTGAGTTGGGGAAACTGATGGACTTGCCACGAGTGGCGCCTGTCGCGCACACGTCACCCAGGGCTGACGTTTCATTTTAAGCCTCCCTGATTCAGGGGAAAATTTCCCCCCTCTATTATGGGTGCATATATTCCACAGGTAGGCTACTCTGATTGCTCAGTGTTGAAAAGTAGTTAACTCTGATTGCTCAGGGTCGAGAATTGAACATCAATGTAGTAACGCGCACTGTGTTTAACGGGGAAAAAGGTTTCGCTCCGCATGATCCCAACACAACGCGACATCATTTCATGCACACCTTGTGGGCGTTACTTTCTCACCCTTAACTTTCTCTGAATGGTATTTCTCCACACGTTTTAGCGCGGGGAAGAAACGAGCAATTTCGGTCCACCAAACAGTTCGGTACCATAGATGTGCCAAGATTTCCTATTCGCTGATTACCCGCAATTCGCCAACATCATTGTGCGAAACGCAAAAAATGTGTTGGTAACTTCACGCACACGCAATTGCGACAATACAACTGACATCGTCGAATTCTGTGAAACTAACATACGTAGAGTGTATTCACCTGTCAGACATGTTGCCGCGCGCTGCTCACGCTCTGGCTGTACTGCGACCAGTCCGAAGGCGGGGTTATTGGAAGGAAATTTCCGAGAAACTTCGTTCCGATAAGGTCAAATTCAGAGTCCACATAACGCGTACTCTACTTTGACAGAGTCAGTAAGAACACTACTCTGAGCCTAGATACAATATTTCAGGGTTCGCTAAAGCACTATTCTGAATGGATCAGTGTTCACAAGTCAGAAATTCTGAAATTGCAGGGACCACCAGGTGAGAAGCCTGTAATCACCCTGAAATCAGGGTAATTACCCTGATAAAATCAGCCCTGACGTCACCTCTTTTTTTCGAGATTGGCGCAAATTTGGACAATCAAAACACGAGCTTTTGAAAACCAGCTTCATACAGTATGATTCCAGAACTCAATAAAACCATTTACAACCCATCTCCCGACTTCCAATCAACTTGTCTACACATCAAACAATAGGTTTTTTCTTTCTCTTACCCTCTACCCAAAGTTCATCTCATCTACCGTAAAGTTACTCTCTACCTGAAGTTCGAACTGAGAGAAGTTAAGAAAGTAGATGATGTCTGCACCACAGAAAATGGAAGGCACCTATGATCACTACCGGTACCCTGCCAGCTGCAGGCTTGCTCGAAGAATCTACTGCAGGCTTGCTCGAAGAATCTACTGCAGGCTTGCTCGAAGAATCTACTGCATGCTTGCTCGAAGAATCTACTGCATGCTTGCTCGAAGAATCTACTGCATGGTTGCTCGAAGAATCTACTGCATAGCGGATTTCAGCGTGGCTGTGCGGAGTCATAGGTTCCATGGGCTGTGGGCTGTGCAGAACAGGAACTACGGTACCGTAAATCACGAGCTTCTAAAAATCAGCACTTTATTAATACATTAACACATCCACCTCCAACACCACAACAGCACGTCTACACTTCAAAGATAATAACAGGCATAAAACTTCTCATACTGTCCTACGACTGTAGGGTTCAAATCAAGCAGCTGCTGCAGCATTGAGCAGAGCATTGTTGGCATCCTGGCTCGCTTCCCACAGGAACCACCCTCCATAGCAGGGCCTATGTTTGGTTTTTGGCTACTCACGATTAGCAGTGTAGCCTTTTTCAAAACCCTTCTGATCAGTGTGTAATTTTTCGTTACACTGATACATCAGTGTAACATTGAGTTTCGAAAAAATTACCCCAGAGCATCAGTGTAGTATATTTGTGTAACCTTTGTCAGAGGTCCACTGAAGATCCCCGATTGATCCTAGGGAGGGGTTACATGCTCGTTGTCCTGGGGGGTGTTATGTGATGCTATCATTTGCATTCACGTCTGTCTGCCTCCCATCATATGTTCGTGTGTTGCATGCGTGGTGTGAGCGTGTGCAAGAATTTGTGTTTGGTGTTGTTTGGATTTTCTGAGTGTGTGTGAGTGTTATTTGCCTTGAGCAGATATCTGAAGTGACTCCTCTGCTTGAGAGCTTTCCGACGAACCAAGAATCGCCGCGATCGGAGCAAGAACGAGAAAGATATGATCGTTCGAAGTTTTGATTGAGATGCGGCGACTATGGGAATTTGCTGGTTGACTCAATATGGGGTACAGACTTTTGGGGGTTGGGAAATTCGTCACCATCACTGTAGATGATGCCAAGTGGTTGGGAGAAGCCAAACCAGGTTGGCAATTGTGGCCAAGTTGGGTGAGGTGGATGGCATGAGTTGGGAAAGTGACAAATTTCAAAGTTGGGGTGCCTATAGAGAGGGGAAATGTGTGGTATGGGGTTTCCTTGGTTGGGGACTCCCTTGGGACCTTCTCTCTCGTCCTCCTCATCCTCTCCTACCTGGTTCAATTGCTACTCCAACTTTCTTGTGTGAACTTGTGAGATAATTGTGATTGAGTTACGTTTTCTATGGCAGCATACCCCCTAGTGCGCCGAAGTTCATAACTCGAGTTATACTCCATATTTTGATACTATTCACATTGGGAAAGATAGCCACGGTCAAGGGCTACAACATACTCGAGTTTAAAAGAATTCTAAATGTGCGTTAATCGTCGACGGCATTTCTTGTGACGACGACTTTTCTGTCCAGAATTGTAGTTGACGATTTTGAGATATTTCAGCCCCTAATCTTCATTGACTCCATCCTTAGTCTCTAACAAGTGGTATCAGAGCTGATTAAGGACTTTGTGGAGAGTCTACTGAAGTGTGAAGTGTGAAAAAATGAGAATGGTTGACTAGGAAAATGAGTTGGGTACAAATATGAAACCCTAGGAAACTGTACCCCATAGTGTCTACCCCACTACAGCCTACACATGCTATGTGATTAATCTTTGACACACCCCCATAGGCAAAGTGGGGGAGAACAAGGGGTCACAAGACCAGTCAATCAAAGCAAGCTCAGGGTGGATCACAACGTCACCACACATTCCGAGCACAGGTTCAAAGGCCACAAAGCCAGTTCACATGCAGGATTATATATACAAGGTAAACAAGCATGTACAGGTATATATATAGATCACAGTACAAGTAAAGTCAAGAGGTAAGCAAGTGGGGCCAAGTAGGCACAAGACCTAGCATAGTACAGAAGTGCTGATGATCACAAGGCTGAAGTGCCTTGGTGAAGATATCAGGCAGTGTTGGCCTGAGAGGCCACGTAAGCAAGGCGTAGCTGACCACGCTGCTGCAGCTCACGAGCAAGGAAGTAGCGAAGAGCAATGTGCTTCGTTCTGTGCTCCAGTCTGTGCTCCCGACACAAGGCCAGCATGGCCTTGTTGTCTACGTACAGAACAGGAGGAGAACGAGGCGGCTCTCCCAGGTCAGTCAGCAGGTAGGTGAGCCAGCGTAACTCCTGTGCAGCCATGGCCCCTGCGTAGATCTCAGCCTCACAGCTGGAGCTGAGAACAGAAGACGAGCGGGTAGACCGCCACGAAACAGAACCGGAACCAAGGCTGAAGGTGTAACCCTGTGACGACCGCTGAGTAGCCAGGTCTTCAACCCAAGACGCGTCTGCGTGACCAGTGAGGACCACTGGACTCCGCCCTCCAAGCACGAGCCCCATGCCCGACGTACTGCACTAGTAGCGCAACACCCTCTTCGTGGCCGCCATGTGCTCTGGTCGGTGTCTGCCAGGAGCAACATAGTGTGCCAAGATGCTAAGAGGGTATGCCAGGTCAGGTCGAGTGCAGGTCATCAGGTACATGAGGCAGCCAACAAGCTCTGGGTACGGGCACTCGGCTCTACGGACTCATCCGAAGGCAGAGCTGAGAGCGAGTGGCGAGTAGACAGAGGAGTGGCCTGAGGCGAGGAGTACGTGAAGTCGAAGCGCTGAAGGACCTGCTGCACCATGTGTGACTGAGTCAGGGTAATGGTGCGCCGTGCTCTGTCCCGGGTGATCTGCAAGCCAAGATAGCTGCGCAGTTCACCCAGGTCTGTGCACGTGTGTCTCTTCTGCAGCTCGGACTTCACGTGGGCGAGTCCAGCAGTGTCAGCCGTAGCAAACACCAAGTCGTCGACGTACACGAGGATGTAGAACGGCGGCAGCAAAGTGTCGGTGCGAAGAAACAGCGACGGGTCAGCGGTAGAAGGAGCAAACCCAAGAGCCGCAAGAGTAGTCCTCAGTGTGTCGTGCCACTCACGGGGCGCCTGGCGGAGACCGTAGACTGGCCGCCGGAGGCTCCACTGGGTACCAAGAGGAAACGACCGAGTGAAGCCAGGTGGGCGGCGCAGCCAGATCTCCTCGTGCAGGCTGCCCTGTAGGAAAGCAGTGCTGAAGTCAAGAGAGTGAAGCTCGTAGTCACGCTGAGCAGCGACGTGCAGCAGAACCCGAAGAGTGGTCATCTTTGGGGTCGGGGAGAAGGTCTGAAAGTAGTCAACTCCCTGCCGCTGACTGAAGCCTCGAGCCACGTAACGCGCCTTGAAGACAGGCGGAGAACCCGGCGGCCGCTTTACCCTGAAAATCCACATGCCACTGACGATGTTCGCCCCAGGTGGGGGAACCTCGTCGACGTAGGTGCCTGTGGACTTCCGTCCATGGCTGACTGCCACTGAGAGGAGTAAGGACCCTCTATCGCCTCTGCGTAAGAGCGCGGGGTCGGGATGTCTGGTGCATCCGGGTCTCCCTCAGGGGCAAGCAGCATGGACACGAGATGAGGTCAAGCAGTAGCAAAACACTGGAACTCCTCCTGCCTGTCCTCAAGGACGTCCGTGCTAAGAGCACACTCACCCCCGACGGACGGAGGACAGACAGACTCAGACTCAGCAACAAGACTAGCGGCGTAGTCTAGACGACAGTGAGCAGCGAAGTCGACAAGCTCGGCAACTAAGGCAGACGCAGCAGTGGACTCAAAGGAAGGGTCAGTGACAACAGTGGCTAGGAAACGCGT